AGCATAATTTGCATGTCTTGGAATAACTTGGAATTCCTAAGAATTCCTAGGAATTCCTAGGAATTCCCAGACTACTGGGAATTTATTTCGCAGGGGTAATGTAATGTAAATGACAGCAGTACAGTTCCAATCCATTTATGGTCAAGTCATCTTTCAGGATCTGTTGGTGGAGTGACTTCTTCTCTTTCTCTCTCTGGCATTCTGTGAAACGCAACCACATTTTAAAATATATTTTGTTGTAACACAGTGGAATGATTATAAAATATTTCCATAAAATACAGCGCATGTCTGGGCTACTGCATAAAAGATGATCAGGATGCCTACTAGAAATATTGAAAAGTACAATAGTACATATTTAGGGTGTGGTCTGAGTTTTACAGCCGTTTTTTATATCCGATAAGAGACACAAGGTAGCTAAGAGAGAAAAATAAACAGTTCAAACTCCTATTAAATGGCCACCTTCTGGGAACTGGATAGTAGCTGGCCCCTAAAAAACAATAGAAAAGGGTAAAAACAGTAGAAAAGCCCTCTTGGGATTTTGATTACTGGCTGTTTAATAGGTGGCTGCTTAATAGGCCGGGTTGGACTGTATTCATAAATAATTAAAACTTATTTATTTGCAACTCACTCTTAAAAAAACTACCCAACAAGTACCACAATTCCTTTCGTTTTTTCTTTATTACTTAAATTTTGAATTCCCAGTGGGGTTTAAATAACAATTGCCCTAATTAGCACATTAAGAAATGGAAAAAGTGAAGGATTCTGGTAGTTGTAGTCAAATGACGCCATCATGCAAATTGCCTATTCTCCAGGCTGTCAGTGTAATAGAAACTCTTCTGGGCTTGACTCCTAATCAAGCCATTCTATAAAACCACACAGTCGAACATACATATTGTATGGAAACGAGAAACTACAAGATGTAATACACTCCACATGTTCAGTTGCGGTGACTTCATATCCCTTCTAGTGTTATTTTTAAAAAAATTCCTGTATTTTTCCCACCTACATGAGAAATCTCCTCTGGTCCCACAGCCTTATCATTCACAATTCAGAAGCCAACATTATTCTTCCTAAAATTGAGTGCTAGAATTCCACCATACTATTAGTACACATGCATCCATAACTAAAAATTATGATTATCATATTTATAGAATATTGTATTTGAATGTACTCACCCTGTGTTGTAAATGAAAGCAGCTGGAATCATAATAATTAATGTAGTGATACTGAACCATGAGCTTGTCTGGAAGTAAGGATGCCAGCCAAAAGGTTTCTCTTGAAATAACATCCAAAAAATAAACCCAAGGGGTGTGCAGAGAGACTACAATTAAAACAAATGTGGGAAAGAGGAATTTAAAAGATAATACTTACTTTTTAGCCGTAATGTATTAGATCAGTTACAATTTATAAGCAGTTTTGTAGTGATGAATGTTTTACAGTATTACTCTAACAGTCATTCGTGCTCCTCCCAGGCCACACCCAGCTAGCTTCCCGACCTGAAATATTTTTCATGCTTGCCCATCTTTTTTCTCCCTACAGCTGTGTATCCCAATTGTGAGCCTGTTTACAGGTTTTTAAGTATTGTGAACAGCTTCTAAAAAAGCTGTAAGTGTACATGACTGAAACAAACAAGAGACAAAGGCAGTAATAACCCCTAATAGGGTTGTACACATAGGGTCAACAGAAAAGAAACAACAGATTGAGTGTATTCCATGAAAGATCTTCATCCCTAAGCCACACTCTGCTCTGCTCCCTGATATGATTTTGCCCTTACCCTTCTAGTTAGGGAGCCTGTTCATGGCCTTTATACTTGTGCATGCCCATCTTCACAAAGGTTTAATAGAAGCAGCACAAGTGACAAGCAAGCAATTATCTCTGACAGATCCACTGAAGTGTTCAAAAAGTTTGTGTATGAGGATTTCAAAGTGAAGATGGGCTTTGGTTTTGGTAAAAAGAGGAGGTTTTCTTGCTTGAACAAGGGCAGGGGNGGGGGGGGGGGGGGTGTGGACCTGAGCAAAAATTAGGCCTGTAAAATGCTCTCTGGCAATAAAAGAGGAGTGGTCCCTGGGTCAGAAGTTATACCACTGATACATGTAACATGTAACTCACCATAACAATTGCAAGTAAAGTAGCCCCCTCGGAATATCGTAGAAGGAGTGCACAGCCACATACTGTCATGATGTAGCCAGCAATAAATAGAAATGCAAGCACACCTGGGGTCCAGGAACATCCTGCTCCACCAAATACACATAGGAATCCAAATGCCCAGCTAGAGAAATTTATTTAATAAATATAATTTTATATAATGATAAATAAAGTGACTACTGGTATATGAAAAAGGCTGTTTCTAAGGAAGACTTCTAATTAGTTTAATCACAGGTGGAGATCCTAATGTTTTCCAGATGGATCATCACATGTGTACTAAAGGCATCTGCAGTCGAGTGTCAACTGATACCCTTGATCAACAGTTGGCTTAAACAATACTTGATCAATGTCTCTACCAGCCAAGATCTACAATTGACTAACAGTCGGGCGATAGTCAGCAGTGTCAATCAACACTCATTGGCATGTCTGCAAAAATTGGTTGATTCTTAACCAACTTTTGACAGACATTGATCAGGTGTCAATTGAGTATCAACCGAGGTGTCAATCAAGGGTCGATCAAGGGTATCAATCAGGGGTATTGATTGGCACTCAACCAAAGATACCTTTTAAGGAATAATGTGTGCTTAAAAGTACAAATTATCAAGAACATAAAAGTGCTTAAAAGTACACAATTATCCTTCCTGACTAGCTATATAGATGGCTATTGTGCATTCCAGAGTGATGATGTCTCTCTACAGTAAATATCTGACCACGAAGTATTTTTCTATTGGTTACCGCATTTGTATGTATAGTTGCAGTGTACTTTCAAACCCATTAGCAACAAGAAGATCTTTTAGATCTTATAACCGCGCTTTTAAAATCTAACTATTTTCTTAGTACTACAGTCGAAACGCAGTGCACATTCCAAAACAGTCCTTGACGATTCATTGATTACTGCAGACACCACATCACTTGATCAACACAAACTTCGTTGTTGCACCATCGCTCTTAACCTTTGTGAAATCTATGATGACCTAATGGTCTTAATCTGGAAGTTCGCTCGGGACATGCCCATGAATGATACGAAAAGGAAACAAGTGTCACGCTATTAATGACGCCTATTAATAAACAGCTTTCTTCCTTAAAAGTCAAAATTTAATTTGTTTGTGCTATGTGTAAAGGACAAGCAAAGTAGTCATGCGAGTCACACAATCCCAGGTTTACACTATCCACGGCTAATTTTAGAACGGTTGTGTTTTTTCTCCTAGCATTGACATAAACGCTGCAAGTTCTGGCAAGCTCCCGTTTGTTCCTGTTTATAACTGCACTTTTAAAATTGAACTATTTTCTTAGTACTACAGTCGCAATGCAGTGCACACTCCAAAGCAGTCCTTGATGATTCATTGATTACTGTGGACACCACATCACTTGATCAGTACAAACTGTGTTATTGCACCATCGCTCTTAGCCTTTGTGAAATCTATGATGATGCAATGGTCTCAATCTGGAAGTTCGCTTGGGACATGCCCACAAATGATACAAAAAGGAATTTAGTGTCAAGCTCTTAATAACGCTATCAATGAACAGCTTTCTTCCTTAAAAGTCAAAATTTAATTTGTTTGTGCTATGTGTAACACACAGTCCGAGGTTTATGCTATCCACTAATTTTAGAACGGTTTTTTTGACATAAATGCTGCAAGTTCTGCCAAGCTCTTGTTTACCTCAGCAAATATTTAATTTTCCTTCAAATCTCTTAACTCACTTCGATGAAATAGCCAAAGAATTCACTTCATTTGCCTAAACCCACAAGAAATACCTGCAAAATTGCAAATAAATTAATGACCGTCGCTTCTGGCAAAATAAACTTGCAAAGTAAAAAGTGAAAGCTGCAACGTCAGCGCAGTCCATGGCTGATGTAATACCTTTTTGTAGTGTATTTATTATTCCCTTTGAATCCAACGCTTCGATAAAACCAAATAAAATATATTTTACACACAATAAAGAAAACAGTATCCGTAACATTTTTCTTGTATTAATGTTTCAACAGCTTTTGGCGAGTAAACATCACAGGTTGCGTGGTTCAAAGTGGCCGAGTAAAGGCTTGGGTCTGGTCGCCGACAAAACAAAACAAAATAAACCCTGTGCAGAGCAAGAACCGCACTCAGCCCATGGCCATGCAGTTAATTACCAGCAAGTGTAGGTAATAGAAGTACATTGTTAAATACCAGTGTAATTCAGGATTTACACCACATTAGTAGTAATTGAAAATTCTCTCAAAATTGCACAAGCTCCTGACAGCTTGAAAATTTTAACATACAGTATCAACTAGGTATGTGTATTCATGACATGTTTTGTGACAAAAAAGCAGCTGCAGTGTTTTCAAAACAAGCTGGCAACCGTCGGATTTCTGCTGCCTACTTGATTACATGTATATATTGACTGCCTACTTTGGTTATAGCAATCAGCTTGTTACAAATAAGCTCAGCATTGCGTCTTCTCAATAAATCTTTTAACGGTGGCAGAGTAACTCCACACTCAATTTTGCAGCAATATTCATTTATGCAATAGGAAGCTTGTTAAAACAAAAGCTCAAAACATCTACTGTATTTTGTGCCCTTCAGATTATAGGGCGAAGGGGCCTAATGCCACCCCTAACTTGTCATAGCCACCTACCCTTCCAGCTGCAGATGCCTACTTCAAACAATTTTGAAACCCCTGTTCAAGCAGTTGTGAGTTCTTTCATGTAGCTGAGCTCTCTGAAGCTCATGTGACTCGGAGCTCAGCTGAATGATCTTGAATGTGGCTGGACTTACACTGTACAAGAACTGTACTTAATTTTCAGGTTAGAAACAGTTCATTATAATTTTATAAAATGAATGCTTACTTCTGAATAAATTCATGAATATTGTTTGTATATCCAAATCCAGGAATGAAGTCAGCCCAAAACAGTGGCACGACAACAAGAAATTGTGCCAGTGATGTCCAAAAGAGAACTGATACCAGCCCTGCCTGGGTGTGGTCACTGCCTTGCATCTTGACTACTTTCTCTTCAACTATGTAAGCAAAGGCTGCAATTCCCTTTGAAGAAATAAAGGAAGAAATTTAACAGACAGTTTGACAATCTGTATAATCTCTTCCCTCGTTAAAATGCAACTGAATTGATCAGTATGCCTCCAATGGATGAGCTATAGTTACAGTTTCTACAATCCTATACAAACATTTACTAGCCAATATTATGTTCAAAAATTAAACATATTTTTGTTCCAGAAAATATTAATAATCCCCCCACCTTTTTTCCGTTCCTACCCTCCTTTGAAAATTTCATCAACGTATACTTGATGGTGTTATATGTATTATTTCAGTAGGCAGACAACTCCTTCAGTGTCTCTTCCTGCCCCGTCCATATGATAAAAATGTCGCTGGGCCCTGGATGTTAAAGGTGAACTTACTTGTACTTGATACAATTCACCCATAAAGCAACACATTTGTTAAATGAGTGGAGATCAATATGTTTCTGGCTACACGTGAATCAAAACTTAATGACAGCCCTGAAAAGTCCCAGTTCCTTGGGACTTTGTTATATCACAGGTATGGGTAGTTAGGCACAGTGAACATTGCCTAACAGCATTACTATAAGAGTAAATTGTATAGTACTAATGTAACAATGTAACATTTCAAAAGATGAAATTGACAAATTGAATAAAAATGACTTACTTCAACTCCTCTGTGTGTTATTCTTGTTTCCGTGCCGTTTTGGGGTTGTTTTAACACAATTCTAGCCAGTTTCAGTTTCATCATTTTCCTCTCTATAAATTTTATATAAAATTAATATAAATATATAGGAATGTATATATAGAGGGGAAAACGATGAACATGAAACTTGCTGGAATTGCTTTGAAATGGCCCCAAAACGGCATGGAAACAATAGTAACACACAGCAGAGTCAAAGTAAGTCATTTTTCCATATTTTGAACTGTTACATACGATGATTGTTACATTCCTATACAAACTCTTATATTTACGCTGTTATGCAATTCATATGTGTTATTGACCATAAGTGAGGTCAAGATGGCTGGATATTGGCCAAGTTCTTTTTTGTGTGTGTTTATGGACCAAGACAGAGTCGAGGTCCAGAAACTTGCAAAAAAAGAACGAGGCCAATATCAAGCCATCTTAACCGAGCAAGCTTGGTCAATAAAGGATTAATTATTATAATTATGGCTTTCAGGGAAATTTTTCTCATGGGACAAGGCGGGTAGTCCTGAGCGGAGAAGACAGCTCCAGCTTGCCCGCTCAGGTAGCCAATCACAGTGCAGGATTTGATTCATCTTGCCCACCCACAGAGCTAGCCATATAATAACATATAATAATACTCACTGCTCCTAACTACCCAAGGAGCTTGGGATACCTGTGGATATAGCAGGATTTCAAATGAAAGTAGTGTACTCACAAATCCAAGCATAAAAGCTAAAGGCCACAGGACTCGTCCCACTCCTGTAGCTCCACCGAGATGACTTGTACCTTGAGGGTCAATTTGTGAGGAGAACGTAGGAATAAGACATATGAACAGACCAAGCACAACTGCAATGGCGGATAAGAATTTTCTCCTTGTAGGAATCTTCTTTAAAAACAGGAACCTGTCAAAAAAAAATAAGCATAAAAACAATAATTACACCTAATAGTACCTTTTTGGTATGCGTCGGCAGCATTTCAGGCAAGTTTGGTCAAGCCATGGTTCATATTTTGGCACAAAATGCTGGTAGTTGAGCCAGAATACCCATGGTGAGACCATTTATCGCCTGATATACTGCTGAAGCATACCAAAAAGATATGATTAGGTATTTATCGTACCCAAATTTGGCCAAGTGAGTATGATTGTAGTCATATCAGGTCAGTGATTTGATATTGCAGGATATCACAGAGAGTAGACATGGCTTTTGAGTGGCTAATTGTGAATTTGGATAGGGTAAAATGGCTAATTCAGTATTATTACTCAATCATGGACAGCTACAAGAGATTCCATCCCACAGGGTCTCTCTCCTGAGTTAGGTGAAATATGCCAAGAACATTGTGTCCAGTAGCCTGGGGTCAGTGCATAATATTATTGCAGTTGTAGGGCTTGTGGGTTATGTCCTTAATGCTCACCCAGTGGGCAAGTATATTTTTGGGGGGATGTGTTTGAAGAAATTCAAATTAGAGAAGTGCTGCCAAAGATGAAATAATCCTTTTTTAAATTGTTGGATCCTTTTTTGGAGCGCTAGTCCATCATAGTAACAGTTTGCCTGAAATTGTTTTTCTTTGCATCCCGCTGGAACTGGGAAATGTAATGCTGGGGACTGTTAACTCCCTGGGATGCACTACTCCTGGGAATCCTCCAAAAAAGGATTCAACAATTTAAAATGGGATTGATACAATCAAAAAACAATTTGATCTCTCAGGCAATACTTCTTTAATTTGCATTTCTTCCAGGGTCTTGAAGGTCTTCTTCTCTCTAGTCTGCCTGTGAGTCGTTGTTCCTGTCGATCCGGTGTCATCTAGTTGGAGAAAAACATTAGCCTGGGATAACCACGTAAATTCCCATTCACTATCCAAGTTAGCCATGAAGTCAGCACGGTTGCTCTGATAGTGTAGTGATGATCACACAGGACCGGTAATCAGGGAGATGTGGGTTCAAATCCCTTTCAGGGCATAAAAAGTTTTTCTTCCAATGAAAATGCCTTTCAGAAGTTGTCTGCTCTTGGTTCCTTCATTAACAGAGATGTACTCTTGGCAAGTTAAGAGACTACTTAACTTGTATACATATAGCTATATGTATGTGCCGCTGTGAAGGGTATGGTTTTCAGTCAGTTTAGTCTGGGATACGGTATAGATATCAGACAATTTTGGTCTAGAATAGGGTTTAAATTCAAGAGCAGGGCTCTTAACCTGGGATTCTATAAATAGCCTAATTGAAACTCAGAAGTGACTTTGTAAGATATTGGTTCAGTTTGTGTATGTTGGACTTTAGATGGTGCAAAAGTTTGTGCATAGAAAATAGCTACAGTAGTCTGGGATAAGATCAGGGGTGTTTGGTGTTAGAATAGGGTTGCAAAATCAAGCTGATCATGGTCTGGTATAGATTTACGGAGTACCACTGTACTCCCAGTGCACTATCACCTCACCAACTTTGGGTTGCACAAATTATGATTGATGGTATGTAAATGTATCAGGTCTATGAAAGCGCTCTGCATTGATCCTTTACAGAGGAGACATCCAGGACTCTGTATTTAAGATTTGTTACTACCCATTTAACCTAAGTGGTCCATCAGGCCGGAGCTTATCCCGGGTTTCTGTAGCATGACGCGACTAGGAGTATTTCCACTCACCCCTGGGTGGAATGCTAGTCCATTGCAGGGTTACCACCAGCATTAAATTCGCCCGTACTTAAAGTGCCTATGAAGTAAAAAATAATTGCTGCTTATTTGAAAGGCTTTTCAAAGTAAAGAAGAATGGTGTTTCCCTTTCTGGAATATCTTTTTTTGTTCTAGAGATATTTACGTTTTTGCATTATGCAAATGAGGAAAGTGATGACGTCATAGGTGGTTCCACTTGAACGGTAAAACA